GGATTTTGCCGAGTGGCCGGGTCCCTGTAGCGTTGAAGCCGAAGATGGTAGTCGAGGTCGAGGCTAGGCGCTTCGACGGTATCCCCAAGTGTTTGATTAACTTTAGGGGCACGATGCTCAGCGCAGACCCCGGATCAACCTGGATCCGATCCACTTTCGCCGAGCCGACGTATCCTGTGAAGTACAGCGGCCGGTCATGGGACGTGCTCTTGATGAGCATATCCTCAGGGGTGAAAGTGATGCAGGGGATCTGTCTCTCTGAAACTTGGCAGCAATCGCGCAGGTATGCTTTTCAATTGCGCGAGTACGTTGAACCGGTAAGGCTGGCGGCTCGAACTTGGTCCATCTGGATTGGGAGAGATTGCTGCGGCTGGCCTCGCGGGAGGTCCTGCCGGGTTTTCTCCCCTCGCGGGGTATTCTTTTGCGAACTCCTTTCCGGCTCTCGTGGCGAAGACGTTGGTGTCTTCTTCAGAGTCGGTTAAGGCAGTCATCGCCGCGTCATCTCTATCCAGGATGGCGGTGACAACGTTGCAATGCTTTCTCTTAGCCTCCTTGGAAGGCTGTGCAGTCCACTGCTCGTCATCGAGGAGGTCTGGATGGACCCACATCACCTGCCCTGATGGCAGAGTTTGTGGAACCAAACCCTTTTCCCGCTGGTTGTGAGGATCGTCGTTAGTGATCTTCAAAACCGCCTTGGGGATAGGAATTATCCCCGCCGGAGCTTGAACCTCCGGGAGACCCGTCCCAAAGCTCAAAGTGACCATGTTCGCCGTCACTTGCTTTTGGACCTTCTCTTTCTTCAGGACCCCTGCGTCGTAGAGAGCCTAGAGTTTGTCCTTGAGACGTAGCACTTGGTTGTGTGATGGCCAAGGAATCTGTGATATGCACAGTAACTTGGGTCACCGGTTTTGTCCGCCTCCTCAGGTTTGGCGGCTTCTGGCAACTTAATTCGCCCACTCTTGAGTAGAGTGTCGAGAGTCGCCACCACCTGGTCTTCTTTGAAATCATATTGTCGCTGGGGACGTGGCTCAAACTGCCTGGGTTTAGGCTTTTGAGTAGCCTTTGGTGCCGAGGCGGTGTCGACTGCTATGATTTCTTTTCCTCTCGACCGAGGGGGGGTTCTTCGGCGCAGCTGGCTCCGCTGCTCCCTTTTTGGACTGTGGCTCTTCGGCCTCCAGCCTCTTGATCATATTTTCGACTTGCTCGCCTTGGCGAACAAGTTCCTTCCAAGTCCGGGTCTCTACTGCCCCTATTTTAGACAGGATATGGATCGACAGATTGTTGCGGCACATCTCGATCAGCGTCGCCTCGGAAACTTGGTCCCGACAATGGACCGATCGATTTCGAAATCTCTTCACGAAGTCGTTGACCGACTCCGACTTCCGCTGCTTCTCAGCGAGGAGAGTGGCCATTGACACTTCCGTGTCATCATCGAAGAAGCGGGCGAGGAAAAGCTTTTCAACGTCGGCCCATGCCTTGATAGAGCCGGGCTCCAGTTTGCGGAACCATTCAAAGGCCACCCCTTGAGGGTACCAATGAACAGTCAAGTGAGAATGGCGTCGTTCCCGGTAAGGAATCCGGTCTGCGCCATGAAGTAGTAGATGTGCTGTGAGGGCGACCCCTTGCCATCAAACTGTACCAAGCTGATGGGCTTGAACTTCGCTGGGTATGGGACCGTGTCCCATTCGATAGGGTAGGGACGTACCACCCCCAGCTTGTTCATATTTTGCTGAAGCTTCAGCACGTTCAGCTGGTCCTGGAACTCGTCGAATCTTTTGTCGCGGGTGCTATCCGCGGTGTGCGACGTTCCTATCGATGTTTTGGAGGAGTAATCGGACTATCGATCATCCTCTGTCTCAGTCGCTGGACGGTGAGGAGGTACCCATTCCTTGTCCCTGGTTTGCTGGGGTAAGGGACGTTGGGTCCTCTTCTTTTTCTTTTTCTTGTTTAGCAGTTGTTCCATCATTTCTCTAAGAGAGTCGATGGTCGCCTGCTGTTCCTCCAGCTTTTGGGCCATCGTTTGCTCGGTATCGAGTCCGGTCATGTGCACTCTCACCTGCGCGTCTTGACTTGAGCGCGAGGTCTGAGATGTGGCCGCCGCCGAATGAACCTCGTCTTCGCCGTAGGAGGGAGGTACTAGGGTGGAATAGTCAAACCCAATGCTTACCCCCCTACGACTACGGGTTCGCTGGAATATGCCTTCCTGCCGGCGTCGAGCGAACCGGGTATTAGGTCTTAAGACGGAGTCCGAGTCTGGCGAGTCGGAGAGTACCGCCTTCCCCTTATCCGTCATGTTGACTGCGGCGGATGAGAGCTCCAGGTCGTCAGCAGCGCGTCTTTTCTGGTGACGGCGCCTTCGACGGGAGGGCCTTGGTCGAGAGGCCTGTTGAGAAAGCCTCTCAAATACCGAAGGTTTCGCCGTTCCAACGCATTGGCAATCGGCGAGGACCGTGTGGATGAGTCTCTCGCAGTGGCACTGAGGATTCGCCTCGTGGATAGTGCGTTTGTGAGTTAAGAATTCTCTGAGGTCTTCTAGGGGTGGTTGGTGACAACCCCCAGCCTCGGAAGAGTCGCTCTGGTGAGCTGACGAGAGATTTTTGGGCGCTCTCTCTAGCGCGCGTTGGGTGGAACGCCTTGGTGTTGGAGTCGGGCGATCTCGCCTTGACTGGCGAGTCTTCGCGTTTGAGCGAACTCCAGTACGTGGGCGAGTTTCAACCCCATGTTTAGAAGAGCGGGTTCGCGAGGATTCGCCTACTTCCTTTCCTTTACGTTTATCCGCCAGATGGTTATGGCGAGGCTCGCCAGCCTTCGAAGATTCGCCTACTCGGGTAGGCTCACTTGCTGAGAGTGGGTTATTCGCATCAGGGATATGACCTGAGAAGCGAAGTCCTCCTGAGTGGATGGCTCTGCCACCTTTGGTTGGCGCTCCTGATTTGGAGGGCCTTCCGACGTCGGGCAGTTTGCCTTCCCGTCTAGTGTTTCTCGGGCCTGTATGATGGTTCAGGCCATCGTGAGAAATGGAGGTTTGGACCTCCTGTCTGACGGGTGTTTGCCGTCGCTGTTGGTTAGCTCCCCCAGTGGGGAGAACGTCACCGTGGGTTGAGGCAGTGTGGTTTGTGCCGGAGTGAACCGGCGCTTCCTCCGAGGTAGGCGTCTGCGTGGACCGCTTGGCGATCCATCTGGCAGACCCTCGCCTCTTGCGCTCGATCTCTGGCTTGGCCTTGATCGATTGCGAGGGAGTGGGCTCCTCCGATGAGATTCGGGTGGAACCCTCAGGTGCAGAGGTTTTGACCGTCTGAGGTCGGCCTCAGCGCGCAGCTCTGTGGCGTTTGCGGGACGCATCGCCACCAGAGGAGGAGGAGGACAAGTACTCTTCGTACTTGGCCTGGTCGAACTCGATTTCTAGGGACTCCACTGTCGTCCCGACAGCAACATCATCAAACTGAGCCACCACCATTTCACTCGACGAAACAGCTTCTCCCACTGTGGTCGCCATCTTCTGTATGGTGAATATTTGATTTTCCGAAAACGGGGAGTATTCGTTTGTATTAATAAGAAGGCTTATTACAAACTAACAAATCAAATGATTACAACAGAAGCAGAGGGAAAGCCCTCTTTGTTTTGTGTGGGGACTTTAGGTGGCTACAGGATGCTTCGCTCGATGCTCGTGTCGAGTCTGCTTCCCTTGGACCGTTCGAATGAGGTTGCTGGGGAGCTTCAGTACGCAGTAGAAGCTCGGGTTAATAGAGTTCGGGTCTTCTTAGTTCGTCGGCGATCGGAGCTCGGAACTAAGCGGTGGTGCTGTAATGCAAGGATCTGCTAATAGCTTGGTCTCAACTCTTTTCTCTAAGTTTTCGACCCCTTCTCCAGTGTGCTGGAAGGGGCTTTTAAATGGAAGAAGGACAGCTTGACTCCTCCTTGAATTGTGGGATGTGACCACATCCTCTTCAGAGACGTCTCGCCGTTCCTCGATACCATGAATGGTCATTCCAGGGATTGTGCTTTATGTCCTGTCACCTACGATGGGAAGGCCCATTCTTGTATATGAGGCAACGAACGACTGCTATCCGAGTGGATTTGACCAGCATTAATGAACCGCATTTATGAGTCCGCAGATCGATGAGGCGTCTGTCCGATCACCAGTACTGTGCGTGACCGCCCGGCGTGCTTTGAGCACGACGCTTTCTCCTTTCCGGTCAGGAGAGGCGGTGAAGTAGGTGTACAGTACTCGAGTGAGTCTAGCCAGCTTGCCGAGTGCCGGCGGACCCAGCTCCAGACTCAGACAGCCGAGGTGAGTCGCATTTATGAATGCTCAGGTTGACTCGACACCTGTCCAGTCCTTCGCGATGTGCGCACTGCGAGCGGCTGTTTGACCGTCCTGGGGTACTGTGCTCTCTCCCTTCGGGTCGAGAGAGATGGGAAGGCCCATCTCAGCACGTGGGGTAGTGGATACCCAGCTGTACTGACGGTCTTGAGATTGCTGGCGGATTCGACCCTGAACTCGGGCAGGCGAGATGAGTGAAAGGCGAGCTTTCGTCATCCTGATCGATCTTAACTCGTGCTGGCGAGTTGACCGTTAGGCGAACCTGGAATCGAGTATACTCGACGTCTACGAGGATTAGGCCCGTGCTGGAGAACTGAGTGTGCGAGCTCTTCTCGTAGGCGAATTTCTTGTAAACCCATAGAGGTATTTTTTACCGTCTACAATAGCACCTGGTTCAACCCCATGCATGTATTTTAGCCATTCTTGAAATAACCACACAAATGTATCTTCTTGTTCATCGGCTAATAATGCACAACCAAGTAAAGTAGACTGCCTATGGTGATTAACACCAGTAATTGGTGCAAATGCAAGGCTGAATTTATTAGTTCTGTATGTCACATCAAACATAATAACATCACTGAATTGCAAATAAGATGCTCATGATCTTCCGTCGGCCCAAAAAATACTCCTCATTTGTTCACTACTGTCTACTTCTATTGCAAAATAAAATTCTAGATCATTCACTGTCATACTCTGAAAATGTCAAATGATAGATATGCATTCATGGCCAATATTGTTGACTCTTTGGGTTCTGATATGATCAATGCACTGTTGTGGTGTCACTAATTCACCTTCTCTTCCATTGGTTGCATTGATGACGCGAGAAATAGTGGAAGGAGGCATACCTTCTTCTCGCAGACTATCAATAAGTTTTTTACATCTTTGAGTTTTATAGAATTGTTGATGTGATCTGTGCATTTTTGCTTTGTCTGGACTGCTCAATACATGATTTGTATGTTCTTCAACAAACCCTGTGACCTCCCATGATTTGTCCTCCAATATTTTCACTCGCATCATTGCCTTACATCCCACTCGGGTCTCTCGCCGAAGATGAATCTCCATCTTGTCTTTATTAGATTTATAGCCCTCCTTATCACAAACAAACTTTCTGTCTACCACTTCTCTAGTCTTGCGAGAGTAATTCACCGTGCTCTTTCTTATTCCAAAACCCATCAACAATGCATATGAGTTATAATAGTTATAAGCTTCTTCATAACTATTAAACTTCATTCCCATAAGTGGTTTAGGAGCATTTACACTAGTTGAATTTGTTTCCTCCATTCCGAACTCTACACTAGTTGAATTTGTTTCCTCCATTCCGAACTCCTAAAGAAGAAAACCAATTCCAAATATTATGTTCAATGTTGCTTCAAAACTAAGGATGTAATGGTGAAAAATTAAAGATTGATACAGAAAAATGCAAGCAAACAAAAAACGAAAAGGAAACAACTCTGGACATACGTACATGGACTGGGGTAGCCCAGTGAACAAACCTCGTACAAAAAATTAAGTTGTCATTTTACTAATTATGCCATCCACAAGAAACAGTGAACCCTCTACCCCCATCGTACAAAAAAGATGACTTTATAAGCATTTCAAAAAAACTGGTAAAGGAAATTGCTGTTAAGCATTTCAAAAAAGATGACTTTAAAACACTGGACTGTATAACATGTAGGTTTCAGAAATCAAACACTCCAGAGGTGGCATTTCTCATTTTAGTTTATAAAAAAATTGTTATTGTTATCTTGTGGGCTTAATTTTTTCGTCAATTATAATAATGATGACTTTAGTTTTGATCAGCCATGGTCCTTTTCCATGAAAAAGAAAATTGCAAAATTTTTCTTACTTTTACATTTCTAAATTCTCCATTAGTGTTTCCTTTTTTTAAGATTCCTTTTCTCTGTGATGATCAAATAACAAATGAATATTCCAGATTTTTGAACTCTTGAAGCTACCAAATCAATGAATATTCCAGATTTTTGAACTCTTGTTTTACCTCTTGATCAATACCAAATCAATACCAAATAACAAAAGAATATTCCAGATTTTTGAACTCTCTATGATGATCAAACTGGACTGGGATTTTTAAAATTTTACCTCTTGATCGGAGGGATCTCGCGGCGGAGAAATCAAAGAGGCTTGGTCGGAGGGATGTAGCGGCTGCTCAGATTTGGGAGAAGGACGAGGGGGGATACCAAATAACAAAAGAATATTCCAGATTTTTGAACTCTCTATGATGATCAAACTGGACTGGGATTTTTAAAATTTTACCTCTTGATCGGAGGGATCTCGCGGCGGAGAAATCAAAGAGGCTTGGTCGGAGGGATGTAGCGGCTGCTCAGATTTGGGAGAAGGACGAGGGGGGATTGTACAGACTACGGAGGTCTTGTGCTTTCAAATTGGCGTGATCTATATGAAAATCTATATTCTTATAAATATAATATCTTTGCTGATTATTTGTCTTCTGCTTTAATTGCTATCAGATCAAGTTCATTGTTGATGGTACATGGAAAGTTGATCCAAATCGGGAGATGAGTACCAGTTGTAACATAAGCGTTCATAAGTCATAATTAAATCTATTTCATTTTAAAGGAAAAGGTAGTAAGAGATCCTTGAAAGAGGTGAGGCACTCCTTTTTTGTCGATCAATATTCTTCTTGTGTTTCTTCTTGGTTTCTGTTATTTCAATCTGCTTTCTGGGTCATATAAATCTGAGCTTACGACATTTGGGAAAGATTTTTTTAATATATTCATTGCTGAAAAATAACGGTTTACAAAAATCCATTTCTTTTTGGTAGCCAAATTCCTTGTCTTGTTTCCAAAAGACTGAAAGAGCACCAGAACTCTTATGAGAGAATCGTGAAACTCTAAGGAATATATAGGACAGTTTTGACTCAAAATGTACCAGGAACTCAAGGGAAATTATTTGGGGTATCTGCAAAAGGTTGTTGAAGTCTTGTGTAACACCACTAGAGATTGTGGGATACATAATCAAGTATGTCCCTATTCCTCTATGTTCTCTTGTTGTTTATTCTTAAAATCACTTTGATGGTGTATTGTTTCAAGATGGTTTCCGTTGTGTGAAAGCTTGTGAAAATTTAACTTTGCATGCTCACACACAGTATACTCAGACATAGCTAGTTTGTTATTTAACCCTATTAAAGTTCATATTTTGCTATGAAATTGGATAATTTATTCTGTTCTTATGATTTACATGATTTGGGAGTTTATAATCATCAATCATGCATTTCAAATGTGTTTTTCACATGCATCATGTGGTTGCAAAACAAACTGTTTTTGAGAAATTAGGAAAAAGAGAAAGCCCTGTTTAGACTGTCATTGCTCTTCTTTGCTTTTAGGCTGGAGAAGAAAGATAAATAAACACTTTATGTAAATTCATGTCTATATTTTGTCCACGTGAACAGGAAATACTCTAAAAGACTAAACCTGGGTCGATCTATCACTATCAGAATTGCTGTCAGAGGAGGGTCATGAGCTTCAATCTGTGCTGTTATTAGGCAGAATTAGTTGTGAGGTGATGCATGCGATGAAGGTGACATGGAATGGATAAAAGTTCTTGGCATCCAATTGACTGTTTATACAGTATATCCAAATCTTTTTGCAACAAATGTTGGGATTGTAGTGTATGATTGGACTGTGTAGGTTGACCCCCACGTCTATATGTTATGTAGAAGGATAAATCTGTAATTTTACATAGAGCTTGAAGCCTTAGTCTCCATCTATATGTATGAGGGATATCTTATAACATTTTATATTTTTGTATAAATAAAATAATATATTATATTACTTATTATATTATTAAAATTTTATATTAAATATATTGATCTTATATTATATTAATTATTATATAATATATCATGCTAATATAATATAATGTAATGTAATGTAATATAATAATTAATAATATTAATTAGTAATTATAGTACAACATATTATATTTTAATTTAAAGTAAAATGATATTTATATTATAATAACATACTAAATAATATACTAAACTAATTAGATAAGTTAATTTAGAAGTAATTAATAGATAAAATTATAGCTAATATAATATAATGTAATGTAATGTAATATAATAATTAATAATATTAATTAGTAATTATAGTACAACATATTATATTTTAATTTAAAGTAAAATGATATTTATATTATAATAACATACTAAATAATATACTAAACTAATTAGATAAGTTAATTTAGAAGTAATTAATAGATAAAATTATATTTTAATAAGGTGTTACATCATCGATTATCCCACATGAATTGTCAAATCAAAGGCTCAAATTGTCCCATTATCCCACTTATCCCATTTTACCCCACTCAAAATATCCCAAAAGGATAAAATTATTCTATTAGAACAATTTTCTTACTTGGTCCCAATTTCTCCCAACCAATAACCCCCTAGGGGGGTTATTGGTTGGGATATTTTTGGGGATAATGAGATAATTTTAGGGATTCTATTCCATAGTGTTGTTCATTGGAACAATAGAACAATGATAATACCTTTTTGTGTTATTGGTTTTTTGAAACATTAGTGAGACAATTACACCACTTGAGATAAAATTACCCCACTCATATACAAAAATTTTGTCCCAATAGTAAAAATTTACCACATCCTCCATATTGGAACAATGTTGTTCTACTTTGAAGGTAATTAGGATAATTTTAAAATATTTTTGTATTACTTAACTAATACATGCAATTATATTATAAATATATGACATGATATATAAAATATAACATATATTAATATTTTAATGATATAATTTAATAACATATATAATAATATTATATAATAGTAATTATAGTATAACGTATTTATTATAATATTATATAATATTGTAATAACATATATTAATAATATTATATAATAACATATATTAATATTTTAATAACATATATATAATATTTTAATAACATATATTAATAGTATTATGTAATATATTATTATATAATATTAATTAGTAATTATAGTATAACGTATTTATTATAATATTATATAATATTTTA